AACAAATAAAATGGAATAACATGTTAAGTGCAAATATGGGCAAAAGGCGTGGTATCCATGGCACCGCAGCCCTGCTGTTTGAGAGATTGCACCCGAAACAGGACCGCCATATGCTGCCCTCAGCGTGTCTGCTAGATCAACATGGGTCCCAAGAGCTCTCCCATTCAGTCTGCCCCTGTCACGGCAGCCGGTTCATGCCCCTGCAGAGATGAGGGTGCCATGTTGCGATGGCACCACTCCTCATTCCACGTGGCCCCGCCCGACAGACACAGCTACTCAATACTGGTGCTCATGGGATATACCTACGAGCTTAGTCAGGAACTGACCTGATCTCAAACCAGGCAAAGGGGGAACCCTAGAGAGGCCCAAGCTTTACCTGTATGATGTCCACATGTATACCTAATCCTGAATTGTACCCCACATCTTGAAAATAAATATATATAAAGACCTCAGGATCTAAATGGCAGCACCGCAGTGCGATCTGTCTTGTCATCTCCAGTGCCCCCAGATGAAGACCATCCCCTGGAGCCATGGACTGGAGAAACTTCTAGATAGATGGAGGAAATTAGGAATTCATCTTCCTGTGGTAAGTCTTTGTTCTCTTCTTTATGAAAAAACGTGTAATATAAATAAATATTTTAAATGGTAGATTTCTTAGAATCACATACAAATTCAAAACATCTTTATCATGACTAAATATCAGACTATGCCCACATGACCTTAGGGAACTCTATTTATAAATTTGAATGCCTTCATTAAATATGCACATTTAAATCCTAAGCAGATGATTACATTTCCATAAACATTTTCATTTTATATATATTCCGTGTCACAATAGCTATTTAGGCTCAGTTAAAACTTTGAAGTAGGGACATCTGCATTCAAGGAAATCCTTAACTAAGGTAATAAAATCCTTGTTTTTCAAAATACAAATGCTAATTTATTGTCTTAATAGCGATTCTTTTCTTGAAATATACTACATATATTATTTTTAGCTATAGATATTTCCTAATTTCTCATTAATATGAAAGCATCCATATGTCATGGTCAAACATGAGTATCTCCATGTATGTAGCATTAAATTAGATAGGTGAAAATATATGCTGTGCTCTATGTGAGACCCTATACATATCTTTTAGAAAGACCACAGTCCTATCAATGTTCTCATTTACATCAAAGGAGGCCATTTGTATAGTGGTTAAAAATAAGAGCTTTGGATTATTTTATCATTTCCTAGCTGAATGAACTTGCCCATTGTATCTGTTTTCTTTGAGATATCACTACTGAGATACGGAAAGGTCAATTAGTCTCTCAAATTAGATGTGAAATATAATCTACAGAGGTGGAAGTCACTCTTCTCTCTAGTCTCAAGCAAGCAGAAAAACACAGATAATTGTCACATTCTCTAACCCATTCTCCCCACCAAAAGTCCCTAGTAAAACTTTTGACATTTCTTGACCATGTCATTTTCTTTCGATATCTGTGAACTTGGAGTCATTTTTGGTCTTTTTTTTTTGCCTTGCCTTTCATGTCTCATTGCTGAGACTTTTTAGTTGGCCACTTTTTTTTTTTTTCCTCATTGAAAACAAAGAAGTTCATCTATTTCTTGCAACTTGACTCTGGCTACATTACACACAAATTTGGCTTTGGAAACATCTCAAAAGCAAGTGTCTTATCCTTCTAAATGATTTCAAATTCTCCACAGATCTTAATAGTTTGTTTATCTGAGTGGATGGTCAGCAATATTAAGGAATGGCCATTTATAGCTGTATGTTGGTGTACGCTTAATCTGCACTACAGAGATTCATTCATTTGGAAACTTAGGAACAAACAAATATTAACACAAGGTATCAATAGCATTCATTTTCTTTGCCATTTTGCTGCTGTCTGAGTTAAAGTTCTGTGGACATATGGGGGCTGGAATATAGCTGTAAAAACCACAAAGAGGTCACCAATGTTGACAACGCTGAATCTTTCTGAAAAATAAGCACCTGCTCTTCTTATTTACTGTAATAACACATGCCTGGTCTTTGTTCAGGTCAAACAGGTTTTTTAGACTTTGCAAAAGGCAACTATCTGACATTAAGACTGAAGTGTCTTTGGACCTTGGTAATGAGATCCTAATCAAATACTGGGGGCTTCTGGGATTATGAAAATGCCTTGGCTAAAATGAATGGAAACGTCCAGGTGGTGGGAAAGCTTCCCTGTCACACACTTGCACATATCACAGCCATGTATCCACTTGCAGTGAGCAGGGGGAACAAGTCTAAGGTGGCACTTGCACTGCGGTCAAACTCTTTTATATGTTTGGGTATGGCTTGCTGTATGATGAGGTCTTGGTTAGCTACTGGGGTAAAAGTCTCATTAGGCCTATTAAAGACTTAGAAAAATGGGAAGCAGAGGTCATAGATGTTCATGCTGGTCATTCACATTACAGTATAAACAGGAATGCCTGTTGGCAGTAATTATCTTTTTCATATGGAATTCCCAGTGCCTACTCTTGTATTTGGCCCTTAGTAGATGTTAAATAATGAATGAATGGGTGCCTACTTTATATCACCCTTAGCATACATATGCTTTGAGGGTCTGCAAGAAATATGAAACCATTGAGGTAAAAATATGAAGCTATTGAAGTAAAAATTCTAGAACTGCATTGTCCAATATGGTAGCCACTAGACACAATGGCTATTTACATTTACATTAAAATTAAGAAAGATGAAACAAACTTAAAAGTTCAGCTTCTCACTTGCATGGCCATTTTTTAAGTGCTCAAGAGCCAAATGAAGCTATTGAACAATGCAGATATCAAACATTTCCTTCATTGCAGAAGGTTCTACTGGACTCTTTATAGAGTGTAATATTTTCTTCATATTATAAAAGCCCTACCATGAAAATATGTAAACTCCAATATTCTCAGGTGATTTATTTATTTATTTATTTATTTATTTTTGAGTTGGAGTCTCACTCGGTCGTCCAGACTGGAGTGCAATGGCCGCTCCCGGCCACCGCAGCCTCGACCTGCTGGGCTCCGGCGATCCTTCCACCTCAGCCTTCCAAGTAGCCGGAAATACAGGCATATGCTACCATGCCCAGCTGATGTTTTGATTTATTGTAGAGATGAGGTCTCGCTGCCCAGGCAGGTCTCGAACCCGCGGGCTCAGGCAACCCACTCACCTCAGCCTCCCAAAGGTGCAGGATTACAGGCTGAGCCACCGAGCCCGGCTTCCTCAGGTGATTTAAAAAATATGCGTAGCCTTGACCTTAAGGAGTCCTAGGAGGACCTTGTTCACTATACATTTCTTCATCAACCTGCAAGCTTGTAATAGTTTCATACTTCTTGATGGCTCTTTAAGAGCTTTTTACTAAATTCAAAGTGCTAAGGAAGAAAAAGAGTGATTGTCACGCTTGTGCATACTGCAAATTCAGATTCCCAGGTGTTACTTGCAAGATTTTGATCCAATATATCTGGGGTGTCTTAGTGAAACCACATGTTTAGCAATCTCTCCAGGTGATTTTGAGGCAGGTTGTCCAAGGGCCACATATGAGAAATTTAGCTTAAGGATTACAAGGTTTAAATTCTTGCTCCGATTATTCAACAAAACCTATTGAATTTCTCTGTTATGGGTTCTATTCCACGCACCAGGGCTATAAAGGTGAAGAAAAAGAAGGCATCAGTGGTGCCTTAATGGCTTCCATCAGCGTAAGTGGGAGGTGCCTTATGTGAACTTGGCCCTCCACCAATCACAAGCGCTTCAACCACCACTTTCTGTCCTAACCTGCCCCCAGGTTCTCCACGAGTGAAATCTGGGTTGTCTTTCTCTGTCTGCAAAGGGGAGACTGGGAAGAACTTGATGGTAGCAGTAGAAGAGGTAACAGAAGAGGAATAAGGAAAAGGAGACGGAGGAGGAGATAAAGGAGTCAGGGGAGGGGAAGGGCAGAGGGAGAAGGATAAGAGAAAAGAAAAAGGAGAAGGAGAGAAGAGAATGGGTCTGAGAGGTTGGAAGGACAGAGGATAGACAGAACATGGTGACTGAATGGGGAACAGGGCAACATGCAGGAAGGATGCATTTGAGATAACATTTGACTTTCTGTCTCGAGTTGGTAGTTAATGGGGTCTTCACTTAAACAGGGAATACCAACAGAACAGTGAGTTGGGGAGAGAAAAAGCTTGCTTTCAGTATATTGGACCCGTATGCTGCTTCCAGGGCTTCGAGGCAGAAACATCCAGAGGCAGCTTAGTACAGTCTTAGGGCTTTAAAGACACAGAGCTGGGATGTACCAGTATCACAGGAAGCCATGGGAATGAACAAAATCATACAGAAATATCATATAAGAGAATGGACTAGGCTGCAGGGGGAGAAGAGAAGGTGGCTAAGGATGGGGATTTGCTAGACCTCAGTATTTTAGGCTGTGACTCTTGACCTTTTGTGGATGGGTGACCTTTCTGAAAATCAAAGAATTTCTAGAGACGGCCAAATTTCATAGGTTTACCGTGTGATAATTGCCAAGGTGCTGAGACTCCTGCTGAGAAGTTCCATAGTTGCAAGGGTACTTAAGCAGTGAAAGCAAAAGGGAGCCCTGAGGGACAGGGATGGGGAGTGAACAGGGAGTGAGAAACCAGATTTCCATCTCACGGTGGCGTGTTCATTTAACCCATTGCAAGACGTCAGCCCCACATGAGCAGCCTGTTTCTCCTGCACTCCTGAGTATAAAGTCAGGAAAGCAGGAAAACAGTCCGGAGGCAACCCGTTGAAGCGCTTTTCATCATAGCCTCTCACAGCCAGTGGCAAAATTTCTCCTCCATTTTGTTTTGGGTTTTCTTTCTTTGAGTCATAGAAATCATGGTGATTTAATGCCACAAAAACAATAGAATTCGTTAATCTAAGAAAGTTGAATTTTTGGAGCATCTGATCTTTTCCACACAGGAGTAAGACAGGGGAAGGCAAGACTAGCCTGTGTCTCTGTTTCATTGAGATCCCCTCCCTTTGTGTTGCACTCACCTACAGAAGTGACGATGACTGTGAAGCGAGTTTCGTCTCGCCTCCCAGTTATGTTGTTGTAAGCACGGCACATGTAGTCCGTCGTCTTCCAGGCCATGTTCTCGGATGCCACTTCTAAGCGAGGCCCATGCTTGATGACATGGGTTGCATTGTCAGCCCTCTGGATCCAGGAGTAGGTGTTGGGGGGATAAGAGTCAGCGGAGCAATCAAACAGGATGGCTTCTCCAAGGTCCACAGTGAACACCTCCCCGACCTTCAGCCCTTTATCAGAATTCACTTGAAGTCCATAAGGGCCATCTGCACCATCCAAAGAAGAAATAAAGGGGCCACATAAACGATCACAATGCAGTTTTTGAGTCTGAGCGAGCTTAATGGCATTTTGCTTTCTTTGAAAGTCTTCACGCTAGACTTGGACAAAAAGATACTTGTTTAGACTCCTAGTAAATGATGAGGACCTAAATTTGTTTTATTGTGATATCTATGAAAATGAAAACAATTTGAAGTGTGATTAAACTGATTTGAAATAGTGAAAGCCAGTGTCTAATTTTATAAACACCGTCATTATGATTGTAGGGCTAAGATTTTAAAGAATGTAAGAATAAATCTGCAAGCTGGTCTCGGTGGTTCAGCCTGTAATCCCGTACCTTTGGGAGGCTGAGGTGAGTGGATTGCCTGAGCCCGTGGGTTCAAGACCCGCCTGGGCAGCGAGACCTCATCTCTACAATAAATAAAAAAATCAGTCGGGTGTGGTAGCGCATGCCTGTAGTTCCGGCTACTTG